ATGATTAATAACTGAATACATTATAAGTTTATGACATACAGTAAACTAACCAACAATTATCGGCAAGAAATTCTCTCTCTCTCTCGTCAGTGTTGGCTGAGGTATGGGTTAGAACGGGATCTCAGGAGACCTGCAAACGAAACTGAGAGTTAAACGAATCACTGGAAACTACTTTATCATAAAATTTTTTAGGAATATATGAGATTCAGACCAAACACTTCATGAATAATAAGTGTTTGGCAGTGTTTGGCAATGTTTGCCTCAGAATTGGCACCAATTCATTGGCTGCCGATTCCTTCTGGCGACAGACCATTCAATATTCCGTTCACTTCAACGCTTGTAATCAAATGTGGTTTTCACTCGTTTACTGATAAACTCATCCGAAACATAACCAATCATTTAAAGCACTGATTTTGCATAATAAACGATATCAATCTATCGCTCCGTGTATTTCAAAATCTAATAAAATATACACAACAAAAAATTAACACTTATATAAATAATATCTGAAATCGATGTTTAAAAATTCAAAATATAAATATATTATACCAAAAAAGACCGGCAGTGGAGAAGATTGTAGGCGTAATTTCAATACTACACAACAAATATAGTCTTTCTATAAGAAAAATATTCAAATAACTTGTTAAGAAATGATTTAAATAAGTTATCAAACGCTTGAATCACAAAATAGACATTTGAATATTTTGACGACTTTTGAATAAAAAATTTATAAAATAGTAATAATATATAAGTATTTTTCCTTTTCTTCAATATATGATTCTTATTTAGCTATTCTTCGCAAATAAACGCTAAAAAATTGCAATCAATATGTCATTCAATTTATCTGAATTGAGAAAAAAGCATTTATTTGTTATTTAATGAGAGACAACATCATTAGTTTGACTATTCTGTGATTTGTTTGCTTTTAAAGTGATGTTTAATCAGAAACATTGAGTTTTCTTCACAACCAGAGTCTTAAATACAGGCAATTCAGTACAATTGTTGTGTACTTTATTGACTGTTCATTATCTTTTTGCTCATACATTGTATTAATACTGAAATATTACAGAATATTAGCTGAGAATCACTTGAATCTTAACATAAGAGGTTAACCAACTTATGGCTCTAATAAGTGACACTATTATTCATATTATTTATATTTTAAGAGCACTATTACTAAAATAATTGCATTCACTAAATAGCTATTACTTCAATAAAAAAATATGAATTTCATTTTAAAAGCACTCATTTTATTTCAAATTATTTTTCAACAAAAATTTATTGATCAATATTTGTGTTTTTAACGGCAAAATGTAAGTAAAATTTGTTGATTTATTACTAAAACTATTGAAACGTTTAGTTAGAGGTATAACTTAAATATTAGGTGAGATTGTTGTATAAATTGACATTTTCAATATCAGGGTAAACATAAGAATATAGTCTTATTAATAATTCAAAACCAGTTTATTTCGCTAAATTATAGGATATTTCTTGTATTGTACATTAAGTTATTGTATATTTTATTGTTATATATTTATAAAAATTATTATTTACATTAATCATGATAAGTTTTAGTCTAATACTTTTAGAAATAATATTATATAACTTAATATTAAAAAATTTTAATATTTTATATAAGATATTTGATACAAAGCAAGCAATTAGTTGAAACATTTCATACAATTATATTAAATGATTAATAACTGAATACATTATAAGTTTATGACATACAGTAAACTAACCAACAATTATCGCAAGAAATTCTTATGCATTTAAACAGCAATTGAGTCGAGCATTGGTCGACATCTATAGTCACATAATTCACACATAAGTGTGGAGTTTAGGACTCAAAGCAAACTTTTCTTTTGTGAATTGTTTTCAATGAGTTTTTATAGTTTTAAGAATTTACTATTAAATATATATTTATAACAAAAAATAATCATAAAATAAACGTTATATTCGTGTCGTTTCATGTAATTCACACCTTTTTTATACACTTAAATAACAAATGTATTTGCATTTCGATGTTATTTATACAATAACTTTTGTCTTTGATATGCACTCAAATCTTATCAAAATATTTAAATTTATAAAAATAAATAAGAAAAAAATATTATTGAGGAAACCGATGATATGATATGATATATGAAATTAAATAATAAACGAGTTTTATTTTTGAATACCACTAACTCCAGGGTCACAAATATTGTGTGCGTTAAGAGTAACAAACAAATGGATTCATTTTTTACGATTTCACAGATATATTCAAAATAAATAACGCAAACAATGAAGTAATGATTAAATATAATACAAAATGTGATTGTAATCATTGAGCAAAAAATATGCACCGAAAAAGTCGCCTCTTTTATTGCCACTCAAAACACAACTCGTATTTAAGATAAAGAATTTCGGAAAATAAACACTAATGAGTGAGAAAATGGTATAACAGAGGAGTTAATGTATTTTATTTGTTAAACAACTGTTTTTGGATATAATATTTGCTTTTGATATTTTAATTTTTGAGTTTATATGAAATTGCTTTCAAATAATTTTTAATGATGATTAAAAGTTTATGTATTGATAATCATGTTATAAAACAAGAATTTTTGATTTGTTTAAAAATTTTACATATTCATATAATTTACTATTTAGTTATTTAGTTTCTAAATCTATTTAGTTAACTGAACTAAACAAAGACTACTTTATTAACATAATAATAATTAACAAACATTTATACAAATATTAAGCTAATTATTAACATAAAATATTAAGATTAATGATTGAATTGCAATTATGAAAACGTTACAGAATTCAATATTCTGATGAAGTCATCGCTCTTTTGTAAAAGAATTGCCAGAATTTGCGTTCAAAACCAATAGATGACAACAGAAGAGCGCTTTTGATGCCTAATATTGGCTGCGAATAGAAGAGCAAAATTGAGAGCAAAAAATCAATGGACAGAATATGTGAGGAGTGATTGCAAAGACAGACTCTATTGATCTGTTGAACGGCTAACCAATAGAGGAGTAGTATTAGCCGTATAGACATCGATGTAACCAATGATTGGTTGCGCATCAAGTGGTCTGTGATTTACTTTTTGGTGCCATAAAAGACACGTGCAATTCGTGTTATCATTGCATTTGATGTACAGTTAATGCACAGAATTATTAGTTAGACAGTCGTCGGAATAGTCGACGAGTTATGAACTTTTCTAGTGTTTCCACACATCCGACCGATCACTCCATCACTAGTCTGTCAGCAGATCTGTCGGCAAGAAATTCTCTCAACAACTACTCAACAATCGATTCGTCGCCTCCGCCCGGAAGCGGTCGCTCCACCAGTTCTCCAGCGACGGGTCCGCCGGCTTTTATCATGCGTTCGGCGGCCGAACGGTATCAGAGGACACCAAAATGTGCTAGGTGCCGCAATCATGGCGTCGTCTCCGCTCTCAAGGTACACCATTTCCTTTACTTATGCAACTTTTTGTGTCAATCTTTTATCTTCTTCTAATGGAAGAGAATAAATATTATTTTAATATTAATGTGGAATTGTTTTGTAAAAATTTTATGTCAAATGACATATAATAGGGACACAAACGATACTGTCGTTGGAAAGACTGTTCGTGCGCTAAATGCACGCTAATTGCTGAGCGCCAGAGGGTTATGGCAGCGCAGGTAGCGCTTAGAAGGCAACAGGTATGCCATACGCGCGGGCTTTTGTGCAGAGGATTAAAGCGACAAATCTTTACAAAACAGGCACAGGAAGAGAATGAGGCGCGAGAGTTGGGTGTACTGTACGGATGCCATGAGGGCCTGTTGGCCATGCATAGGGCCGGATTCACTTTCTCGGCCGCCATGTCTCAGCTAATCCAAGTAAGTGATATCACTTTTACTTTTTTTCATCGCCCGCTATAATACTTAAGTGTTTTATTGATAATAACGTTGTGTTATGAAAATCTATTGTAAGGCTAATACAAGTGGTAGACGAGATGCGCCTCCGGTTGACGCTCAGGAGAGGCCCACATCTGAATGCTCTTCAACTTCTGGCGAACCCAACGGTAGCTCTAAATACACCGCAAACGTTGACAAATCGTCGCCATTGACCGTAGATTTAGTAGATAATCAGCACTCAAATAAGGATCAGAATAACTCCTCGAAGACAGGTTTGACTCAATTTATTGTCAAATATAAGCAATAAATCAAAATCTTTTTGTATGAAAAAGTTGTTTCGTTAAGTTTTGAATGATTGCAGTGTTTATTGTGTTAACAATTATTCGCATCAAAAGCGAGGAGAGAGAGAGAGAGAGAGAGAGAGAGAGAGAGAGAGAGAGAGAGAGAGAGAGNTCTTCAACAGTTAGAGAGAGAGAGAGAGAGAGAGAGAGAGAGAGAGAGCAAATAATCTTATTTATGTGAACAAAGATTGTTATAAAAAAACTCGTCAATGAGATTGTGTTGACATGTAATGAAAGCAAGCAGTGGTTCAGTTCATTGAAAGGCATTCATACGTTGGTTGCTTTAAAGTGGATTAATTTTGTAACTTTTTATTTGTGGCATTCATTTGAATTGAATTTAAAGTTCAAAATTGAATACAAAAGTTAAGCTTAGGGTCACTGATGTGTTGAATGAATGGGTGCCCAGTATTTGTTGGATAAGAGATAGTGAAAGGAGAGGTAGTGTGAGAGTGTAGTGGAGAGGCAGCTGTCCTGTCCCTCTCGTTTCAATCACTTGTTCAGTAAAGTTGTCAAAAATCTGTCATAATTGGAGAGAGAGAGAGAGAGAGAGAGAGAGAGAGAGAGAGAGAGAGAGCAACAAATAACTAAAAAATAATAGTTATCGCAAAGAAGTTTTGGTGAGAGGGGGGAGAAAGTCATCATTGGTTGACGTTTTGGATCAAGTATTTGAGCAAAACTTTTCACATTTATTATATATGTCTCTAACTGTTGAAGATTTTTGACGAGAGGTTTTTGGGACTCTAAATATTTGACAGAATTATGGGCACAAAAATTGTCGAAAAGAGCACTAAAAGTGAGGGCACAGGGAATGGGACGAAATGAAGGCATCTTATAAAGTGTATGGACTCTTCATACTGTGTGTGGAGTTTTTGAGTTCATTTTAAAGTTAGTATACGTGTGTTGTATTGTCGCCAAACACTACTTCAATCCACTACTACTGAAAAACTCGTATTTCTCTATTCTATTCAATAGATTAGCCCCTCTTTTATTATATTATATACTGTTATTGAAAGTACACATTATATCAGCTGCGACTTCACCATTATATTCAATAAATATAAATGTATAGATTCTGTACACTTCTCTCTACACAACAACTACTTATCAAAGTTTATAATTTCAAAACTCTTACCATAGGATAGAGTAGTGCAGACACTCCTATCTCTCTCTCTCTCTCTCTCTCTCTCTCTCTCTCTCTCCAATTATGACAGATTTTTGACAACTTTACTGAACAAGTGATTGAAACGAGAGGGACAGGATCTCTCTCTCTCTCTCTCTCTCTCTCTCTCTCTCTCGTTCTCTCTCTCTCCCTTCACTTCTCATCATTCATATACTGTATGTATAAAAACGTTGTTTAAAAGAGAAACGAAAAGAACTTTTTTCAGTCATTTGAATAGATTTGTTGAAAAGAAAGACAGTTAGAAGTATGCGATTTGATGTGTGCTTCTATAGACTGGACAAAAACTATTGCAAATCAGTGTTCAATCACGTCATGGTAGGTCTGGTGCTCTCTGTGCCCGAGACTCCATCAGCCCATCCATTGTCTCTTACCGTTCTGTCTCTCAAACCAGAAATTTTATATATATTTTATACTATCTTTTCAACATAACTGACAAATAAGACATTACTTGTAGACAGTGTTTGTTATAATGTTTTTTGTGGCATTCATTTAGAAATATTGAATGGCGTTTGATTTGTTAGTCTATTCATTGTGTGTTGAAAAATCATAATCAATACATAACAAGCGATAATAACAGTTATTTTATCAAATGAAACATCACTTGTTGTGATAATATGTCAGTTTTAATCTAATTTTACACATTTAATTCATTTCCAATATGTTTTTCCAATAAATTCATTGTTAACCGGTATTCAAAAGAATAGCATCTTTTGGCATGAATTGAGTGGCACTTGAGATGTGAGCATAAAAAAGGTCAATAACTAACAAAATTGAAATGTGAATTATTTTAATAAAAATTGACCAAGTTGTGCAAATATATTGTTAACGGCTTTCAGATGGCTATAATTTGAACAAATTCTTATGTCATTATATTACAGGCCATCAAAATACAAACCCTTAGCTCTCATTCGTATCGATCGTATTAATAGAAAACAATTTTTATGTGAATTTTTTCGTTTAGTTGCAAATCATAATAAAGAAATATTTGGATCCCTTTTTATATACAGCTATAGATCCATAACTATTAAAGTTAAAGATAGTTGACGTATGAAAACGTTAAATTATGAGCAAAACCTATAGAATATAATAGTAAAAGCATATCATATCATATAATGCAAGCAATATTGTACTCATTCTCTATTGTTGTCTATTCGCTAATATACTGTTCTCTGCGCTCATGTGTTATGTGTTCTCACAAAACAAAATATAATTTAATGGTATATTTGAAGAATGATAGATAGTCTGGAATTTCAACACTCAGAGAGAGAGAGAGAGAGAGAGAGAGAGA